CTGATAGCTGGTGGAGGGTAGACAGTTCTCATGATGAAAGCTAGACAAGTACACAACACCTTTTTATACTTACATAGTTGTCTGTCTCTTCTACATAAACTCCATAGGGTGAGTACCTCATCTGTCTTGTTCATTATTGTAACTACAGCACATAGAAGAGAGATGATGCCTACATGTGCACTCCATGAACTTGTTCAAGTTAAGAGAAATTGACTACACAATCTAGATTTTTCAGTTTTAGAGGCAGAATGAGACTGATGATTGGAAAGCCGAATTATGTAGCTGTTCTCTAAACACTAGTTTCTTTTTATCACTAAGCTCTGAATTTTTGGAAAAGGCAAATTTCTTCTTAAATGATAAGACAACCAGCATCAGAAGATAACAGCAGTAACTTCCGACGGAACTAACTGAAATCCTGGTGTGGCCCTTGGATCAAAGCGCAAAATTCGAAAAATCAAACTTCATCTTTCACAACCATGGTTAATAAAACAGAAAGATGAGAAATTTGAAGAATGCTTTGAATGTTCTTGTACTTTGTCTTCCAAATTCACTTTTCTGAAAAACACACAAACACATACACAACATGAATATATAAAGCATTCAAGTATTCACTTCCTGGCTGCTTTGCTGCAAATCCTTTTTCATTTGGGAAACCACACGTTTTACTCATTCCTTCCTGACAATGTTATCTTTGTCAGCTAGAAGGTTAGCACACAGCTTCTAGTCACAGCTTCAAGCTTTCTGGTCACAGCTTCAAACCTCAGAGACTTATCATTTCACAGCAGCATGCTGTTCTTCCTGTCCTGTGCTGGAGTAAAGGATGTCTGGAATAACCACCAGCTCCCAGAGAAAGATGGTCTGCATCACTCTATTAAGAGTAGTCGTCTCACCTGGCCAGGTTCCCACCTCCATGGTTGTTTATCCCTATGCCTAATCTTTATGCCACTGATATTAAATTTCCTGACTCTTGCAGTAAAAACTCAAATGACTTTTGTTTGAGGTTTCCTGAACCCCTAATTAGCTACCTCGTTTGTCCTTCTTGTCTTTACAAAAAAGCTGTTCTAGTGCTCTAGCGTTAAAATCCTCTATATTGTCCCAACTGACCTCCAGCAGTCAGTCAAACAGTAACCATCCTTCCTCCAGTTTCTAAGTAACTCAATAAGAAGGACTTCTCAGCAACTAAGTAAGTAATGAAAACATAACGACAAAAGTGTATATCAGATGGCTATTTGGGCTGTGTGCCACTAAGGGATAAAGTCTATTCACAGGTTGAAAGAGAGTATAGATCTTTGAAGTACTGCCATAATCGAGAATTTTGATTCTTCAATCAGTGTTCTCTCCACTGTATCACATGAATACCACAAGCGTATTCAGACTCTACGCTTACCCTCAAATCATTTTTACCTTTGTTGTTTATTTTCATTAAATTTTTTGGATTTTCTATTCTAGCTCATTACCATATAATGCTAGGAAACCAATTACCAAAATAATCAATAAACTTAATGTCCACACAAAAACTTGTACATAGATGTTTATAGCAGCTTTACTCATAATTGCCAAAATTTGGAAGCAACCAAGATGTCCTTTAGCAGGTGAATGGACAAATAAACTGTGGTACATCCAGACAAGGCGATATTATTCAGCACTAAAAAGAAATAAGCTATCAAGCCACGAAAAGACATGAAGGAAACAAATTGTTAATACTAAGTGAAAGAAGTCCATCTGAAAAAGCTACATACCATGTGATTCCAACTATATGACATTATGGAAAGGATAAAACTATGGAGACAACAAAACGATTAGTGGTTGCCAGAGGTTGGAAGCAGGGAGAAATGAATGGGTGGTGCATGGAGGATTTCCAGGGTAGTGAAAATACTCTGTATGATACTATAAAGATGGATACACATCATTATACATTTGACCAAACCCATAGAATGTACACCACCAACAGTGAACCCTGAGGTAAACTGTGAACTTTGAGTGATTATTATGTGTCAATGTTGCTTCAGCAACTGCAACAAATGTACCTCTCTGGTGGAAGTTGTTAACAACAGGAGAGGCTATGCATGTGTGGGGGTGGGGGTATATGGGAAATCTCTGTACCTTCCTATTAATTCTATGGTAAACCTAAAACTACTCTAAAAAAACAGTCTTTAAAAATAATCATATGGATCAGTGGTTGAACTTACAGCACAACCCATGTTCACAGGTCTCACACATTTCAAATCAAAACAAAGTAATCCAACAGTATATATAAAATAATCTCATCTATCATTTATATTCAAATTAAAAATGTCCACATGAATAGACTCAGCCTGATATCAATGGAATATCTGCCTGCTCTCTTAACTATAAGAAGCAGAGGCACAAAACCCAGAAACTCAAAATAAAAATATATAAGTAAAATAGAACGGTAGAGCCTGGCAGATCGTCCCAATTCTCACTAGTCCTCTTTGCTGTGCTGTCTTTGCTGCTTTGATTGAGAAAAGTGAAACCGTTCTACTCAGACTATACATGAGAAATTAGGTTCACAGATGTGCCACATCAGAAAGACACATCCTGGGGCTGGCTCAGTGGCGCAGCAGTTAAGTTCGTGTTCCATTCCGGTGGCCTGGGGTTCGCTGGTTCAGATCCTGGGTGTGAACATGGCACCGCTTGGCAAGCCATGCTGTGGTAGGCGTCCCACATATAAAGCAGAGGAAGATGGGCACGGATGTTAGCTCAGGGCCAGTCTTCCTCAGCCAAAAGAGGAAGACTGGCAGCAGATGTTAGCTCAGGGCTAATCTTCCTCAAAAAAAAAGAGACACATCCTTATCCAAAGTATTCAAATATACAACTCTGTGGTATGAGTATGTGTATATGCAAAATTCATGGTAATTGAAAGTTTTCCACAGCTACAGAAATGAATCTCTTCTACCTTAGACTAAGTTACAAAAACAATCTGAATGCAGTAAGTACAAAAGGCAGCAAGTCCAATAAACTTTTATAAAGCACCTACTATACAGAAAAGGCTGTGCTAGGTGCTGGGTAGTGACATTCCATCCTATGAGTGGGAAAAGGAGGGAGAGGGTGTAAAACCAGCACCTGGAAATAAGTTTATTATAAGAGGTCTCTCTATTATGGGGGAGTAAGGGTGGGGACATCTGATATTTGCTCTCCTAAATGCTAGAAAAATCTAGTTTCACATAAAACTAGTACTGTACAAAATTGAACTTTTAATGATCATTGTCCACCAGCAGCTTATAGTCAAGTAAGTATCAGTTCAAAGTTTAAGAAAATCAGAGACAATATAAAATATTTATCCTAATGACCTACTCTCCAATCTTGGTTTGAATATGATAAACTTAGTAGATAGTGAGGAAAGAGTATAATAAATAAATCAGAACTAGAAGGAAGTGAGAGAATAGGGACATAGTTAACATGTTAAAGATTTTTTAATCTAAAGACTGTTTCTCCCCAGCCTTGTTCAATCTTGAGTGGATCATCTTATTCAACAGAAGCCATAGAATGAGGATTATTTTGTGGAGCAACCAAAACTTGTGGGCCCATAGGAGGGTCAAAGAGCAGTTGTTTCTCCCCTTGTCCTTGAAGTTGACATCTAAGTGTAAGAGAATTATAACATTATTTTATAGTGCACATTCATAACGTCTACAACTTGAACAGAAATATTTATTTTCATAAGAAACCTGAAGTGATGACAGTGTAGTGTTGCACAATGAAGTGGAGATGAGGTGACTTTCCATGAAAAGTCTGAAGGGGATGGCCACACATTTTTATGCAGTGTAAAGGACCAAATAGCACTCCATGGCAAACAGGCTACCAAGCCAGGTTCTAGAGCTTCTCTGTCCAAACAGTAGCCACAAGCCACATGTGGCTATATAAAGTTAATAAAAATTGAATAGCACTTTAAAAAAAAAGTAGTCCATTGGCATCAATTACATGAGTTATTCCACCCTTAAGTGAAAAATCAACAGGATGATTTATTGTAATTGACTTATTACAGTATAATAAAATGTTAATTACAGAATCTCGATTGGCATATGGGTGTTCATCCTACAATTCTTTCAACAGTTTTCTATGTTTGAAATTTTTTGTAATAAAATGTTTGAAAATAACTATAAATTCAATTACACTGGCCACATCTCAAGTACTCAGTAGCCACATGTAACAGCTAGTGGCCACCCTATTGGACTGCACAGATAGAAAACATTTCTATTATCTCAAAGTTTACTGGACACAGTAGCTCTGGAGTCCAGCTGCTCAAGAATCCTGGCAAGGCTTCAGAGACTAATTCTTGCAGCCTAAAGTCAGTCCTGACTGGTCCCTGGGGCAAGTGGATTATGAATACCAGGACTGCACACTTTTAAAGAGTAGGGGTTCAGCCAGAGGAATAACAGCATACCACAGGCATGGTTACTAACAGAAGGAATGAAAGATCAAGTCTATCAGAAAAAGGTTGAAGGGAACTGGGAAACATGAGTGGGACCTGTGTTCATTAGGAGTTAAAATATAAATAAATAAATGAATAAATACACTCACACATATATGTGTTTAAGGCTACGTTTTAAATAAGTTGTAAAGCTGAGAACTCATTTAGTTCCCACAGATACACAAAATACATATATGGTGAAATAAGAAATAAGGGCATAATTAGAGACTTGCCTAACTTGGAGAACTGACTTTACTCTTGTAACCCTTTAGGCAATCTCTGCTTATACCAAAAATAGTCAAATGTGAATAATCTCTGAGAGGTTGTGATAAATGTAAAAATTCCAGGACTTTCTGTAAACAACTTATATAAGGACCAAAAAATTAAATCGCATCAAGTATGGAAGAAACAAGGGAAGATGTACAATTGCCTTTAATGGATGCGAATCTGGCTACACATTTCTACCTGAAACAACTTCTGCCCTAGGACTCATCTACTAGAACAAATTTTTATTATCTTTAAAGTAAATCAGAGACATAGACTCATGAAAAAAAAAAAAAAACACTCTCCATCCAGGCTTTGATATATTTTATTGGAGCACAATTTCAAAGCAAAGTGGCTTTTATTTACAGAATTTAATGTGTGTGGGGACTGTCCAACCCACTTGGACCCAGGTGAGGATAACAATCAAGCTTGTTTATGTATTTTCTTACTTTGTTTGCATACCAAAAAAATTTGTCTGCTTCACATTCATAAAAATCTCAGTATTGTAAATGACAAATAAGCCCTCCCTTACCCATCCCTTAATTAAACATAAAAGCAGTTAAAAAAAACATACAACTTAGATTGGCTTAATCTTGAAATGTAATCCAATAAGACTAAAAACTAAACATTTCAGGTCCTGTACCAAATAGTAAAATACTCGAAGGCCTTCAGGATCCCTAAAATTTAAAAAGGTAAGAGTTACTTTCTGGTTTCTAGAATGAAACAACATAATTTTGTAAGTTAATTCCTAAAACAAAACAAAAACCAAAAACCTAAAAAATTAACTTAAAGGAAGCAAGGAGAAAGGGAGAATATGCTGGTAACTACAATGAACATACTGAACAATTACCATCTCTATCTTTTCTGTAAGAAAGAAATATAAATTTTCTTCTCCAGTATTCATTTCATATTTTAGTGTTTATTTTCTTATAAAAGTAATAGCTATGTATCACAAAAATGTATAAATCAGATAAAATTATAAAGATATAAAAAATACTCATAATACTATATGTCACTCCACATGGAGTAACTATAAATATTTTGATGTGGCTCTATTTTTTTTAATAACTAAAATAATTCCCTGTGCCCTTTTTAACATTATTTTCCTTTACATTAAAAAATTTCACAAATAATTTTTAGTTAATTTAACAATTCTCTCCTTGTTAGACATTTGGATTTTTTTCCTATTATAAATAAGGCTTCAATGACCATCTTTATGAATAACAGCTTTTTCATTATTTGAGAATATTTCCCCAGAAGAAATGCTCAGAAAGGAAATTACTAGGGCAAAGGTGAGTAAAATATCAACAGCTTTTAAAGCATATTATCAAATTGCTTTCCAAAAAACACTGTACCAACTTACAATCCCAGTGGGTATGAATGCCACATTCTTATCAACTGTCGGAAAATAAATTTGATAGTTTAAAAATGTCTGGTCAGTCTCTATGAACGCAGCCTTTTGTACCCAACAGTTATGAGGCATTCATTCCTTTCTCCTTTCCTCTAATAAATATTCATAAAGCTCCTAAGTGTGAGCCAGGCACTGTGCTAACTTTGGAGACACAGCAAGGTTCTCAGGGAGCTCACATGCAAACCAGCAAAGCAAACAAATAAGTTATTACAATTTAAAGTGATAGGAAAAAGCACTGTGAGGACATTTTAAGGGGAAAGAGTAGAAAGAAAGAACTGGAAACAGATTTTTCACACAAAGACAATGGTATGTGCTACAGGGACCTAGAACTTGGGAGGATGAGGTAGCTAAAACCATACTTAAGCTCTACTGGATTTTTCCCATTTATTGGAACTAGAGGAAAATGATGTGATATGGGGCTAATGAGGCTGATATAACCCAATAAGGATTTCTTTTAAATTTTGTGACACTGTTTACAGATTTTTACCAAAAAAGCAGCTAATAAAACTTGGGCATTATTATGTTTTCAGATTAAGAATTTTTTGGCAATCAATTAAATACACTGCTAACTTCTTTGATAACAAGTCTTTAATGACATAAGAATCAAAATTACAGCTGCATAATAAACTGATAGGGTGTCATTGAAATAATCTTAAAACCTGGCTATAGTTCTAACTCTATTAGAGATAATAAATTTTATCAATTTAGTCAAACTGCTTTAACACACTTACTTTGACTGATTTACATTAATAAGAGAACCTATTTTTGATGTGGTAAAAGAAATGTGTTCATCTCCAATTACAATTTCAAGCTCCTGAAAAAAATAAAAGAGAAATGTAGTTACTATAAAAATCCTTCCCAGAGATATCTGTATTCTCGCTACCAAAAGGTCCCAATTTTAGCTGCAAGTTTTCTAGCAGTCACAGAGAAGGAAAACAAAAAGGACACTTGATCTGTTAGACGTAAACCGTGTCTATAAAATAAGAACCTCAGCAACTGCTCAACAGTCCCCAATGCTGGGACCAACCAAAAGTGCTTTCCAGAGATCTCTTAAAGAAGATACTATAAAATGAACAATACACCTAAAAGTGACACACAAATATTTCTTATAATGTCAGTACAAACTGAAGGCATCACTTTGAAGCCCAATGATGTAAAAATAATAATATGGGTATAAGCCTATTTTTAGTATAATAAATACAAATGCATTTATCCTCTCTACTGGGCTCTAAAAACAAAATGCATAATATTAATAATAGCACCACTTTAGTACCTACTATGTGCCAGGTCTTGCTGCTAGGGACTTTACAAACATTATCTGTAATCCCTAAAATGCTTTTATCAGGTAGGCTTTATTAGGCTCATTTTACAAATGTGAAATCCAAGATTCATAAAGCATAGGAAAATACTTGTTGATATTTACAACTACTAATTTACAACCACTGATATTTGAATCCTGGATTGTAAGACTAAAAGACTCAGACTCTTTTGACTTTACAAAACATTAAGAACTAGTAAAACAAACACCATAAAGTAGATGTTCCCAGTGTGCCAGGATCACTGTGTAAGTTTTTCTCTATATTTTATCTGCAAATCTAAAACCAGTAATTAAGAGGCTATGTCTGTGACTTTTCAGGTTAAGTATGAGATGACATCACAGAAAGTCTTAGCTACACATTTGATCAGAAGACTTAATTATGCACAGCCTAAGGCACACACACAATGGAAAGTTAAGTGAGACTCTCAAACAGTCATAAAATCTTTAATCTGAAGATCCAACAGACAATTTCCAGAGCATGCCTAATCCTCCCCACCAACCAAAACACGTGAACACATCATCAAATGGGTAGATGAAAATACTGGGCTCACCCTGAATCTAAAAGACATAAAGAGTTTACTGCTATTATTTGTTTTTTAGTACATATGCACATATGCATAAAACAAACTAGCTAAATTTACTTTTTATAAGTGTTTACAATGCATAAAATAAATATTGCTATGACCTTTCCTGTCCTAAATAATGGTTTTTCTTTTTTTAAATAGAAGGGTTAAGTTACTGCTAGAGTGTCAGCATGTTAGATTTCTCCACATTTTCTTCTAGGCAAAGAAGGTGTTACAAAGTATAATCCTCAGGAACATATAAAAGAGAAATTAAAAATTTCTTCCTTCAGGGGTCATATCTCATTTCTCCAGGAGTTGAAAAGACACAATTCTTTCTACCCAGTGAAATCAGGCTTTCAGAGCACTTCAGAAGCCCTTTGAGACACATCAGTTACTCTGAAGGGAATATGAGAGGCAAAGGCAATGGTCAGTTTGAACAAGAAAAACAATCAAATCCCTCTCTGGGGCATAAAGAAGCAAATAAGAGGTTTCAAAGTTGTAAATTTGGAGACAGTAAATTTTATATAGTCAATGAGATCCTAAGTCTTGAATTTAACATACACCTGTACTTATTCCTAATAAAAGTGATTAACATACAATACAAATTATTCATAACAATGTGAAAACATCCTAACTTTGACTGTGGTGGCTACAGAGAAGACTGTTCAGAAGGATGTAGATTTCACTTTAGAGCTATGCATCAACTCCTACTAGGAGGTAACACAGAAAATGAGGCTAAGTAAAACAAAATTAAAGAGTATGTAGAAATCTTGTCAAGATGGTGGTGTGAGCAGACATTGAACTCGCCTCTTCCCACGAACACAACCAAGTTACAACAATTTTTGGAAAAACTGCCCCAGATTGAAAACTGAAAACTGGATAAAAAGAACCCCCTACAACAAAGGACAGCCCTGACAAAGGCAGAAGAGGCAGTCATTCCTGCCAGACAGGAAAAAAGCCACCTTTGGGAGCAGTGGAGCTTCTCAGCTGGCCAGGCAGGAGCCACCCTAAGGTACGCAGCCTTCCCTGGAGGAGTGAGGTCTGGAGCGGGGGTGATACTGCTATAAGCATACTTCAGACTCAGCCCAACTGAGACGGGGGTCTTACAGTCTGGCTTTGCTCGCTATTAACTGCAGCAAGGATACCCCCAGCAAAGCTATTAGCTGAAAGCCGAAAAGACTTGGGTCTTAAAGGGCCCACGCACAAACTCACTCCTTGCAGCAATCTAAAATCACCAGAGAGAAGGCTGACAGTCCTTTGGTGAAATGAGACTCACCTGGTGGGCTCTGTGGGTATCTTGGTGAGAGGAGAGACCTCTCTGGAGACTGAGACATTGGTGGGGGCCATTGTTCAAAGCTGGTCCAGGCATGCTGACATGGAACCCGGTGGGGGCCATTGAGGTTCATCCCTTGGCCTGTTAGCCCAGTGGTCTGACATGCCCACTAGAGCACAGATTTAATCCAGGCAATCGGCTCTAGGGACCAGCCCCACCTAACAGCAAGCCCTCAGGCTACTTTTCAGCCTGCATTGACTAGGTGCCTTGATCCTCTACAGGCAGGCAAGGGTGTCTGCCCCTGTGGGGCAGGGCCTGTGTGAGGACCAGGTGAACTGTGGGGGACACTGGTGAAGTGGGGGCCCCTGCAGTGTGGCATCGGGGTATGCTCCAGGGGATTGAGAAGTGTGCACAGACCAGGACTGTGTTGACAGTGTATGTGGTCCAGTGGGGGGTGAGGCTTAGCAGCAGCAGAAAACCTGTGATTCACAAATAGCCATAAAAAGGATCAGCGCCCCCTTCCAACGCCTGAAATAATTCAGTGCCCCAGTGCCTAGGGCCAGCCCCACTCAGCTGCACTCCTAAGAGAACTGACAACAGCTTGTAGGCCTGAGGCTTATCACAACTGTACCCCATGAGCCTAGCAACCAGCTACACTGGGTACCAACCCAACTAAGAGGAAACTTGCAATAGGAGTGTGCTGATAGACGTTGTAGCAAACAGTGCTGAAGCTCCCCAAACCAAATTTACAAATAGCTTGCCAGGGAAGGAAACATTAGACTCCCTGGGTACCTGCAGTGGGAGCAACCCTGCCACAGCAGAAGGACACAAGTAGCTCACAAAGGGGTCACGCCTGCTTCTGATGGACTGGTGATGAGAGGGAAGCACACTGCTGGGCCTCATAAGGCATCTCATACATAAGGCCACTTCTCCTAGATCAGGAGACATAGCTGACTCACCTAATACATAAAAATAAGCACAGAGAAAGAGGCATAATGAGCAGGCAAAGGAATACTTTCCAAGCAAGGGAACAGTACAAAACCCCAGAAAAAGGACTAAATGAAACAGAAACTAGCAACCTACTCGACAAAGAGTTCAAACAAAATATCATGAGGATGCTCACAGATATGCGGAGAAGAACAGATGAATACAGTGAGCACATCAGCAAAGAACTGGAAGATATTTTAAAAAACCAATCAGAAATGAAGAATACAATACTCAAAATGAGAAATTCACCAGTGGGACTCACTAGCAGAGTACAGGAAGCAGAAGAATGGATCAGCAAGCTAGACAAAAGACTAGAGGAAATCACCCAAGTAGAACAGAAAAGAGAAAAAGAATTAGACAGAATGAGAACAGTCTAAGGGAACTCGGGGGCAATATCAAGCATGCTAACATTCGGATTATAGGTGTCCTAGAAGGAGAAGAGAGAAACAAAGGGGCAGAAAATTTATTTGTAGAAATAGTAGAAGAAAATTTTCCTAACCTGAGGAAGGAAACAGACATCCAAGTTCAGGAAGCACAGAGAGCTCCAAACAAGATAAGCTCAAAGAGGCCCACACCCAAGACATATTATAATTAAAATGTCCCAAATTAAACACAAAGAGAGATTCCCAAAAGCAGCAAGAGAAAGGCCACAAGTGACATATAAAGGGAAGCCCATCAGGCTATCAGCGGACTTCTCAGCCAAGATCGTACAGGTGAGAAGAGAATGCAATGATGTATTTAAAGTGCTAAAAGGAAAAAACCTACAGCCAAGAATACTCTATCCATCAGGTTGTCATTCAGAATGGAAGGACAGATAAAGAGCTTCTCAGACAAGCAAAAATTAAAGGAGTTTATCACCAAGAAACCAGTTCTGCAAGAAATGTTGAAGGGACTTATTTAAGTGGGAAAGAAATGACCACCAATAGAGATTAAAAAAAATTATCAAAAAACAAAACAACAACAAAAAACTGGCAATAAAATCACTTGTAAGGTAAAAATATAGTAAAGGCAGCAGATCAACTACCTGTGAAGAAAATATGAAGGTTAAAAGACAAATGTACTAAAATCACCTATTTCACTGATAAGAGGATAATGGATAGACACACACTAAACAAGAGACTATATATGATTTGAAAAACATATAATGTGGGAGGAGGGGAATGAAAAAGTAGAGCTTTTAGAAAGAGGTCAAGCTAAACAGTCGATCAACTCAATATAGACTATTATATGCATAGTGTCTTAAATAAGGTCCTCATGGTAATCACAAATCAGAAACCTCTAACAAGCAAGACATAAAGTAAGACAAAAGAAATCAAACATATTCCTAAAGATAGCCATCAAACCACAAGGGAAGGGAGCAAGAGAAAAAGACATGACCAGAGAAGAACTACTAAAACACCCAGGAAAAAAAGTAACAAAATGGCAATAAATATATATTTATCAACAGCTACTTTAAATATAAATGGACTAAATGCTCCAATCAAATGCCATGGGGTGGCCAATTGGATAAAAAAACAAGAGCCATGTATATGCTGCATAAAAGAGACACATCTCAGACCTAAAGACACTCACAAACTGAAAGTGAAATAATGGAAAAAGATATCCCATGCAAATGGCAAAGAAAAGAAAGCAGGGGTAGCAACACTTATATCAGACAAAACAGACTTTAAAACAAAAACTTTGACAAGAGACAAAGACAGATACTGCAGAATGATAAAGGGAACAATCCAACAAGAAGATATAACACTTGTAAATATCTACGCACCCAACATAGGAGCACCTAAATATATAAAGCAATTATTAACAGACATAAAAGGACAAATAGACAGTAACACAATAATAGTAGGGGACTTTAACAATCCACTTACACTGATGCAAAGATCATCGAAACAGAAGATCAATAAGGAAACACTGACCTTAAAGGATACATTAGACTAGACGGACTTAGTAGATATATACAGAAGATTCCATCCAAAAACCACAGAATACACATTCTTTTCAAATGCCCATGGAACACTCTCCAGGATTGATCACTTATTTGGCCACAAAACAAGTCTCAATAAATTTAAGAAGACTGAAATAATACCATGCATCTTTTCTGACCACAAAGGTATGAAACTAGAAATCAACTACAGGAAGAAAAGCAGAAAAGCCACAAAAATGTGGAGATTAAACAAAATGCTACTGAACAATAATTGGGTTAATGAAGAAATCAAAGAAATCAAAAAATTCCTGAAGACAAATGAAAATGAAACCACAACATTCCAAAATCTGTGAGATACAGCAAAAGTGGTTCTAAGAGGGAAGGTTATAGCAATTCAGGCCTACCTCAAATAAGAACAACTGCAAATAGACAATCTAAAAGTGCTTCTAAAGCTACTGGGAAAAGAACAACAAACGAAGCCCAATATCAGCAGAAGGAAGGAAATAATAAAAATCAGAGCAGAAATAAACACAATAGAGACTAAAAAAACAATAGAAAAAATTAATGAAACCAAGAGCTGATTCTTTGAAAAGATAAAGAAAATTGAGAAACCATTAGCTAGACTCACCAAGAAAAAAGGAGAGAAGGCTCAAATAAAATCAGAAATGAAAGAGGAGAGATTACAACGGACACCTCCGAAATACAAAAGATAATAAGAGAATACTATGAAAAGCTATATACCAACAAATTGGATAATCTAGAAGAAATGGATAAATTCTTAGAAACATACAACCTTCCAAAACTGGACCAAAAAGAAGTAGAAAATTTGAATAGACCGATCACCAGCAAGGAGATCAAAACAGGAATCAAAAACCTCCCAAAAAATAAAAGTCCAGGACCAGATGGCTTCTCTGGTGAATTCTACCAAACATTCAAAGAAGACTTAAGACCTATCCTTCTCAAACTCTTCCAAAAAATTGAAGAGGAGGGGAGGCTTCCTAACTCCTTCTACGATGCCAACATTATCCTGATACCGAAACCAGACAAGGACAACACAAAAAGAATTACAGGCCATAGGCAGTACACTCTTTGACATCAGTTTCAAAAGAATCTTTTCGGACACTATAACTCCTCAGTTGAGGAAAACAATAGAAAGAATAAACAAATGGGACTTTATCAGACTAAAGAGCTTCTTCAAGGCAAGGGAAAACAGGATTGAAACAAAAAAACAGCTCACTAATTGGGAAAAAATATTTACAAGCCACTTATCCGACAAAGGGTTAATCTCCATAATATACAAAGAACTCACACTGCTTAACAACAAAAAAACAAACAACCCGATCAAAAAATGGGCAGAGGACATGAACAGACATTTCTCAAAAGAAGATATGAATATGGCCAATAGACACATGAAAAGATGTTCATCATCGCTAATCATCAGGGAAATGCAAATCAAAACTACACTAAGATATCACCTTACACCCGTTAGATTGGCAAAAACATCCAAAACCAAGAGCGACAAATGTTGGAGAGGTTGTGGAGAAAAAGGAACCCTCATACACTGTTGGTGGGAATGCAAACTGGTACAGCCACTATGGAAAACAGCATGGAGATTTCTCAAAAAGTTAAAAATAGAAATACCCTATGACCCAGCCATCCCATTACTGGGTATCTATCCTAAGAACCTGAAATCAGAAATCCCAAGAGTCCCTTGCACCCCTATGTTCATCGCAGCATTATTTACAATAGCCAAGACGTGGAACCAGCCTACATGCCCAGAAACTGATGATTGGATAAAGAAGATGTGGTATATATACACAATGGAATACTACTCAGCCATAAAAAAAGACAAAATTGGCCCATTCACAGCAACGTGGATGGACCTCGAGGGTATTATGTTAAGCGAAATAAGCCAGTCAGAGAAAGACAAACTCTATATGACTCCACTCATAAGTGGAAGTTAGTATATTGATAAGGAGATCTGATCGGTGGTTACCAGGGAAAAGGGGGGGTGGGGGGAGGGCACAAAGGAGGAAGTGGTGTACCCACAACATGACTAATAAAAATGTACAACTGAAATCTCACAAGGTTGTAATCTATCATAACATTAATAAAAAAAAAAAATTACAGGCCAATATCACTGATGAACATTGATGCAAAAATCCTCAACAAAATACTAGCAAATCGAATACAACAATACATGAAAAAGATCATACATCATGATCAAGTGGGTTTCATTCCGGGGATGCAGGGATGGGACAACATCCACAAATCTATCAACATGATACACCACATTCACAAAATGAAGAATAAAAGTCACATAATCATCTCAATAGATGCAGAGAAAGCATTTGACAAGATACAGCATCCATTTATGATAAAAACTCTAAATAAAATGGGTATAGAAGGAAAATACTTCAACATAATAAAGGCCATATATGACAAACCCACAGCAAATATCATTCTCAATGGAGAAAAACTGAAAGCTATTCCTCTAAGAACAGGAACAAGACAAAGATGCCCACTGTCACCACTCTTATTTAACATAGTATTGGAAGTCCTAGCCAGAGCAATCAGGCAAGAAATAGAAATAAATGGGATCCACATTGGAAAAGAAGTGAAACCGTCACTCTTGCAGACGACATGATTTTATATCTAGAAAACCCTAAAGATTCCACTAAAAAACTTTTAGAAACAATAAAGGAATACAGTTAACTTGCGGGATACAAAATCAACGTACAAAAACTTGTTGCATTTCTATAAACTAACAACAAAGTAGCAGAAAGAGAAATTAAGAATACAATCCCATTTACAATTGCAACAAAAAGAATAAAATACCTAGGAATAATCTTAGCCAAAGAGGTGAAAGATCTGTACACTGAAAACTATAAAACATTGTTGAAAGAAATCAAAGAACACACAAAGAAATGGAAAGATATTCCATGATCTTGGATTGGAAGAATTACCATCGTTAAAATATCCATACTTCCTAAAGCAATCTACAGATTCAACGCAATCCCTATCAAAGTTCCAACAACATTTTTCACAGAAATAGAACAAAGAATCCTAAAATTTATATGAAACAACAAAAAACGCTGAATAGCCAAAGGATTCCTGAGCTAAAAGAACAAAGCTGGAGGTATCACACTCCCTGATTTCAGATTATACTACAAAGCCATAGTAACCAAAACAGCATGGTACTGGCACAAAAACAGACACACAGATCAATGGAAGAGAATTGAGAGCCCAGAATTAAACCCATACGTTTATGGACAGCTAATATTCAACAAGGGAGCCAAGAGCATACAATGGAGAAAGGAGAATCTCTTCAATAAATGGTGCTGGGAAAACTGGACAGCCACATGCAAAAGAATGAAAGTAGACCATTCCCTTACACCATGCACAAAAATCAACTCAAAATGGATTAAAGACTTGAATGTAAGACCCGAAACCATCAAACTTCTGGAAGAAAACATAGGCAGTACGCTCTTTGACATCGGTCTGAGCAGCATATTTTCAAGTCCCATGTCTGACCAAGCAAGGGAAACAAAAGAAAAAATGAACAAATGGGACTACATCAAACTAAAAAGCTTCTGCACAGGAAAGCAAACCATCAACAAAATGAAAAGACAACCTAACAATTGGGAGAAGATATTTGCAAACCATATATCAGATAAGGGGTTAATATCCAAAATATACAAAGAACTCATACAGCTCAACAACAAAAAAACCAACAATCCAATTAGAAAACAGGCAAAAGATCTGAACAGAGATTTCTCCAACGAAGATATACGGATGGCCAACAGGCATATGAAAAACTGCTCAACATCATTAGCTATCAGGGAAATGCAAATCAAAACTACAATGAGGTATCACCTCACTCCAGTCAGAATGGCTATAATTAACAAGACAGGAAACAACAAATGTTGGAGAGGATGTGGAGAGAAGGGAACCCTTGCTCACTGCTGGTGGGAGTGCAAATTGATACAGCCACTATGGAAAGCAGTATGGAGCATCCTCAGAAAATTAAGGATAGATCTACCATATGATCCAGCTATCCCACTGCTGGGTATTTATCCAAAGAACTTGAAAACACAAAAGCATAAAGATACATGCACACCTATGTTCATTGCAGCATTCTACACAATAGCCAAGACTTGGAAACAACCTAGGTGCCCATGAAGGGATGAATAGATAAAGATGTGGTATTTATACACAATGGAGTACTACTCAACCATAAGAAATGATGAAATCCGGCCATTTGTGACAACATGGATGGACCTTGAGGGTATTATGCTGAGTGAAATTAGTCAGAGGGAGAAGGTCAAATACCATATGATCTCACTCATAAGTAGGAGATAAAAACGATGACAAACAAACACATAGCAAAGGAGATTGGATTGGTGGTTACCACAGGGGAAGCAGGGGGCGAGGGGAGGGCAAAAGGAGTGATTAGGCTCACATGTGAGGGGATGGACTATAATTAGTTTTTGGGTGGTGAACATGATGTAATCTACACAGAATTCGAAATATATTATGACGTACATCTGAAAATAAATAAATGGAAAAAAAAAAGAGTACTTACCTGGTGCCTACTAAACGGAAATCCAAAGAATCAATAAGGATCTATTTTAAATAAAGAGAAACACCGTAATTATATTATCAATTTTTAATATTTAAGCATCTACAGAATCACCAATATGAACCTGTCAGCCAAGCCTGTTGGGGGAGGCCACAAAACATCATCTTCTTTTGTAATTTCACTGTCATCAATAATCCTCTTCAATTCTTCCATTACACTCTTGTGTACATAAGCCTGAAAATAAGTTATAATAAAAATTTCATAATGCCTATTTCTTCTCATAGTTCAAAAGTAAATGATAAAACGTAGTTATGAACCCTGAATATTCAAACGGAATATCACAGAAAAATTTAATTCTGATTCCAAAAGTACAAGACGGGAGAGAATGATTTATCCTATGATTTTTTTCCACTCTCTTGCCCTTTCCTTTAAGATATATATTTTCCCTCTTCACATGATTAACCCCATTATAAAACCAAGTATTCTGCCTTTTTAACATGAGATTCAAATATCTCCAAGTGGGTAATGGTGACGACACAAAATTATGAGGTGAACAGAGACAAAAGCAAGTGCACATCATAGTGTGCTGAACTTTCTATCTCTAACTTTTTAGTCTTTCATTTAAAATTATACTGTGTTTCAATCATGATTATCAATTAATAGTGAATAGAGTAAAATGACAAATTATAAAATGAATTAAGCGATATGTTCAAATGTGGGATTACAAATTAATATACTCAGATTGCTTCTTTTGTTGTTACAGAAGCTAACAACTATATCTAATTTAAGCAGAATCCCTTTTGAATCTATTAATTGGCTTCTTTACAATACAGCCTTAGATGTACTTTTGTAAATTCAACACAGACATGAGGAAAACGAGCTAAATGCAAAAAATTAGACATTCAAAAAAAACTTACTTCTTTTCTGATCATGACATCATTTTTGTAATTGCTGTTGTTGGCATATCTAAGCTTTCCTGTGGGGAGTGGAAAAAAATTCAATCTATAACAGCAAAAACTGCTCAAACAAAAAATAAAGAAACGGCATCGTAAGCTATTTTGAAAATAAAGGATATTTTATACTACTATTTTTATTAATTATTTCCTCCCTCCTAGCATAAGATAAATGCTAGACACGTAGATACTCAAAAATTTACTGGTAAATTGGCTGCAGCTGAAGCCAAATTTTTAAATATTCCATGCCTTCGATATAATTTTTAAGTATTCCATGCCTTCAACGTAATTCAGTGTAATGGGAGGGCCATTTCTAAGTCCCATTTTCTTAAGCTATGTCATGAACTACACAGGGAATCTGAAAAAGGAACAAATATTTCTTTTAAAGTTTATGTTGTATGGCTGTATTGGTGCTCAGTGATTTACTCAGAAGACTTAATCTAATCCATAAAACAACACTAAAAAGTAGGTTTTCTTCTCTCACCTATTCATAGTTGAGAAAGCAGAGTGAAGTAAAACTTGCCCAGGGTGACACAAGATTCAGGTCTAGATCTACCATCTTCCAATACTCATGCTTTCCCCACTACTCCAAAATGTTCTCTATTAATTATTTTCCTTCAAATTAATGTATGTATATAATATGACAATGCTAATATTTTACAATCGTTACTAGGAAGCATACAAACTATGTGCTGCTTCTGGATAAAGGTTGGCCAGTGGCTTAGGTGATCTATAGCTAATTTTAATCTGCCATGACTTTTGTACTCCCTGATGCACGCTTCTCCTCATGCACAAGTGCAAATGTAATGTGGTCCTGATCCTCTACAAGGATAGATTATCCTAATGAGGTGAACCCCTTAAGAACCACTGTCTTTGTGAGTCACTGTTACTGATGAGTAAGCGGATGGTGTGGTGGCAGATAAACGGACGAGAACCACTGTCCTGCCATGAAATTTCCTTGATGATATTAGACTACTTAATTTATGTTACTGGGTAAAAGTAATATGGACAAGCTGAAAACTGTTCACAGGGAAAGGCACTGAAAACAGTATCACATAAGAAAAGAAAAGACGGAGAATTCAGGTAAATTGGTTACTTAGCTAAATTTAGAAGAGACCTGAGAAGAACAAGAGGTGATTATGGTTTCTAAATTGCAGGGCTCTAGTTCCTTAAGTTCTGCCTGAAATGTCTGCTACTGTTCCCCTTTCCTAATATGTGATCCTCCCTTAATTTTTCTTTCATCCTCTCATAGAACTTTGTCCAAAGCATGAACATAGCACTTAATATCCATACTACTTTATGGTTAGTTTCATGTCTGTGTCCCTCGCCAAGACACAACTCCTTGAAGAAAATCCAAGAGTCTTACTCAGTTACTGCACCTTAAATTTTTGGATTCACATGTTGCCCAGCAAATAATATACCTTCAAAAAACAAAAGCCTATGCAGTTGTACTGTCCTTGTTTCAAGAAGAGTTCAATATACAATAAGACTCTCTAAAGAGAATCAGAGCTGTGAAATGACAGAATCTGCTGCACATTACCTGGGCAGCAGGCAGTTCCACCTCGCCCTCTACTCATGCTGCTCTCAGCGGTCTTCAACGTTTCTCCCTTAGAGACCAAGAAAAATACTCTCAAGACTCCTCTCAACCGTCACCTTCTTTAGGAAGCTTTTCCCAATTCTTTCACATAGATCTAACCACTCCCCATTTTTTGTATTCTTAATGCATCCAAAGGAGAATAACTGTATTTAAAGCACGCAAAAGACATCATTACACTCATTTTTCTACACGTCGGGCGCCCCCCCTCCGGAACAGGTCTCATTCGTTTTTCGACACGTTGCCTTACATACAGCGACTGAATGAATAAAATGGATGAATGGGTAATCGGAAAGTTACTGGTCACAGGAAGAATATCAGTATCCATGGATCGCTGCGGGGTGGGGACGTTCTCAGAAATAATCACGTTATGTATTAGGTCGAAAAACTAGATGACCTGCAAGGTCCCCAGCGCTGCGCTGATTTTGGGATTCTGATTCACGTGGGTTCAGCTTTTCAGCATCTGGCAGGATTAGCTTTTCTGAATTAATTTACACCCACTATCTTCCATTCACGAAACCAATTTATGCCTCCTATACTCTTAAACTCCTATTGCTTCGTCTCAAGCAGTGGCCTCAGCTCACATTGCAAACTCGCAGCCCGCCGAAGCTGCTCGCCCCACCCCGCCTCCTCCGCTGCAGGTCCGCCTCGCTTCCTTCCCCAGCTCAGCACCACGCTGGGGGCGGCGCCAGCGGCCCCTCCTCTGCTCACCGTCCGGTCGAAACTCAAACTCCAGAAACTCGTGTCCAAATTTCCCCTTGTGCCCTACGTAGTAGCGCAGGTAAAAACCGCTGGCCATGGCCATTTTTGTCCCTGGAAAGCCTGCAGAAGACCTGGCCAACGTGCCGCCGGGCGCCTGGCAGTGACGTCAGTTGCACAGGCTCTAAGCCTCACTGCGCGCGCGCTCTTTGCGCCTCTCGGATGCCCAGAGGAGAGCCGGAAGGCGGCATCTCTCAGGAAAGACTCGGAGGCACGGGATGGAGGGTAGTAGGGATGTGAGTTTTGCTTTACTAGGATTGTAAGCGCCTTACTTTCAGTACTAAGTAGGTCATGTTACATTAGCAGAGCACAGAACTGTGAAGCTATGATAGCATTTTTTATGGGTTTAGGACTGAGGTCTGTGAGTCGTGTTTTTTGGGTCTCTCATTCTCGCTGGATCTTGTGAGGTTGGTGTGGCATTATTTCACTTTAGGTGGTGGGACGACGAAAGAAAAAGCCCAGATTCAGTGGCAGATGTGGAATACAACCCTTTTCCCCTGCTAGATTCCTAACACGGAGCTTTCCCGTTCGGACAAGGATTGCTAGTTACCCGGCAGCTAGAAGCCTGTGTTAGTAGAGACAAAATAGAAAGAATCCGTTAGACAAAAGGTCTGCAGTTTTGAAAAGCACATCCAAACTGAGAATTCCTGATATCATGGTATAAAAGAGATCCTTTTAATAACAAAACTTCTTTCATTCAGTAAGGGGTAACCTTTAGTGGCCTGTGGAGTTTTCTCAATTTGACTTAGGGTCAAATGTTTTAGCGGAGGTTTCTTACCAGATAAAACTAAATTGAGGAAGTGAACGAATGTTCCGGAGTGGCCTGCGTTTTGAATGATGGGAAAAGACAAGGTTAGCTTTTACACAAAGTCTACTTTTCAAATATTGTTGCATCACTTATTTTATCTACACACACAGTAATTCTGACTGCTGGATGACCTTTAACCATCAGAGGGATTTAGTAGAAAGAGTGGGGATCAGAAGCCCTGGGATTCATTCCCAACACTTATCTGTACCTAACCTTGGTCAACTCACCATCTCTAAGCATGTCTGTTCATCTGCCAAACAAATATACTATGGTCAACTTTGCCAAGCTCACAGAATTGTTGAGAGGATCAAATGAGGTTCTGCATGTAAAATAAGCTTTAAAATTTATAAAACACTATGTAGTCAATTTTGCACGCATTCCTATGTGCCAGAAAGGGTTGGACACTAGTAACAAAAGGATAGAGCTGGGGCTGGCCCTGTGGCGTGCTGGTTAAGTTCACCCGCTCTCCTTTGGCGCCCCAGGGTTCACCATTAAGATCCCGGTTGTGGACCTACACAGTGTTCAGCGGGCCATGCTGTGGCAATGACCCACGTACAAAATAGAGGAGGACTGGCACAGATGTTAGGTCAGAAACAGTCTTCCTCAACGTAAAAGAGGAAGATTGGCAACAGATATTAACTCAGGGCCAAGCTTCCTTATCAGAAATAAATAAATAAAAATTAAAGAAAACAAAAATAGAGCACTTTGCACTTGTAGTCTAGAAACCAAAGCAAAGATGTAGACACATATTAGCACAAGGGAGCAATTGGTATAAGAAAGAATTTTTTAAAATGCTGGTAGTACACCAGAGGAAGCAAGTCACTTTATTGGGGAATAGAGGAAATTAAAGAAAGGGACGTATCAGGGAAGGCTTGTGACAAGGTCTGCTATTTGAATTGGACCTTTTTGGATAAGTTCAGTATGTGTTCAGAGGGATGGAAAAGCATTCCAGGAAGAAAATTGCCTGAGAAAAGAGATAGTTGTGTGAAAATGCATGATTTTGGGAAGCCAAAAAATTCAGTATAGCTAAAACATAAGGTTCATAGAAATATAATAACTAGAAAGGCATATTGGGCCAGGTAATGTTGAACCTATATTCACAATTGTGTAACTGTCAATATAGGAATTCATATAAATCATTGTGTAAGTGTTAACACTGAAAAATTAATCAGTTCCTACTATAGCCTGACATTGTGGAAAATACACAAGAAGCATGAAGAACCATCCCTTACCACTAGGGTGAAAATTAACCATTTCAGCTTGCCCAGGATTGAGGAGTTTCCTGGGATGAGGGACTTTCAGTTTTAAAATGTGGAAAGTCCCAGGCAGACTGAGATGAGTTGGGCACTGTACTTACTACCAGAATATCTCACAGAAATTTGACCAAAATATTACATTGTATCTCTGAAATATAGACATAATCCAATTGGTTTGTGTTTTTTTGTAGGGAGCCTCATTCAATATCTTTAGATTCCCTAATGCATTTCCTTCAAATTTTTGGCACATGTGCCAGTGTTCATCTTTGTTCCTTACCTAAATAGAGCTACAGGAACCAGAACTGTGACTATTGAACTTATAGAAGGTACAGTGTTAAGATCTTTATCTGTGGGCCAATGACAGTCTTTATCCCCTAAAAAGACTTCTGAGCTCAAAAGACTGCTCCTCTCCAACTGTGGTTTTAAGGTGAAATATGAAAATATATTTACTTAATCCATCATATATTTAAGCCTAAATAAATGCAAAAATGTTTATCTCTAGTATCAGTATGTTAGTGCCATCTAGTCAATTCCAGCTCCTGGGGACCCTGTGTACAGTACAGATGAACTCAGCCTAACAGGGCTGAACTCTGCCTGGTCTTATGCACCATCCTGTCATCTTCTGGTGCTATATCAGACAAGGCACCCCTCCTGCTGATAGGATTTTCATGGCAAATGTTTTGAGAAGTGGGTGGCCAGGTCCTTCTGAGTCTGTCTTAGTCTAGAATCTCCTCTGCAACCTGTCCATCGCGGGTGACCCTGCTAGCATTGGAAATACTGGTGTCATAGCATTCAGCATCACAGGAACATGCAGCCACCACAGTATGACAACCAACAGACAGATAGTGTGGTTCCCTGATGGAAAAAAATATCCAGGACACAGTGACAAGAGTGCCAAATCTAAACCACTAGACCACCAGGGGTGGTATCTAGTATCACTATAAGGATTGAAAAGTGATAAAGCATTTGTGTTTTGTGGTCTTCTTTGATGTTGCAAACAAAGATGTGGAAATGTTCTGAGTGGCTACTGAGCACTAGAAATAGGGCTAGTGAGGCTGACAAACTGAATTTTTTAATTTATTAAATTTGTATTAATTTAAATTAATATTTAGATAACCATGTGTCTACTGGCTACTGTATGGGACAGAACAGTTATATAAGAACCATTTCATACACTTTTACTTGGGCTGGGAATTGTAAAAATATTTTTTGAATGTTAAGAAATCTCAATTTCAGTCACTTGTAGGCTTCAAATTACGGGATCAAACCTGGTGTTACCACAGTTAATTTATAAAAATACATGTTTGAGCTGTTTAAATGAAGCCAAGTTAGGAACTATTTCCACCTTTGTTAATGCAACCTCTCTGTGGTCAGCTTCAAACCACCCTTGTGAAGTAGTTAAGAAGTAAACAGGAAAGATGGTGTCAAGATGGCAACATACGCAGACTCTGAACTCACCTCCTCCCTTGGACACTACAAATTTACAACCAGTCTTGGAAAAATTATCCCTGAGAAAGGACTTAAAACTGGAGAAAAAGAACCCCACAACAGGGGTCACTGCTGACTGAGGAAGAAGAGGCAGAAATTCATTTCTGGTGAGAAAAACTCCACCTTTGAGCTGTGATGCTTCATGGCCAGCCAGGAGCAATCCTAAGGTATGAAGTCTTCTCTGGAGAAGGGGGAGACCTAAGCAGGGAGTGTTACCACAATAAGCAGCTTTTGAACTCAGTACAACTGAGACAAGTCTCATAATATCTGGTATTACTGGCTGTTATCTACAATGGGGAATACCCCAAGAAAGCTGTCAGACATAAGGGAAACAAAAGCCTGCTCTTAAAGGGCTCTAACACAAAATCACCCATTTTGGAAAGCAAGCTATAATCACTAGAAAGAAAGGTGCTCAGTCCTTTGGTGAAAAGAGACTCAATTGATAGGCTCTGGGTGCATCTTAGGGAGAGGTGAGAACTCTCCAGGGAGTGAGACATTGGTGGCAACTGTTATTGTGACCTAATGCAGGGATGCTGACACAGACAGTAGCAGAGGCCATTGGAGTTCTTCCCCTGGTTGTTAGCCCAGGGTCTTGCCCACCCACTAGAGCACCAATGTAATCCAGCTCAGCAAGGGTAGGCAGCCCACCCTAGGGTCTGGCCCTACTGTACAACAAGTCTTTGGGCAATTTGTGGGCCCATATTGGCAGGTTGCCTGTAACCTCTGCAGCAGGGCGAGTGGGTCCAGCTCTGTGGGACAAGGCATGTGCTCGGATGGGGCCTGCATTGGTGGAGTATGTGGGGCCTCTACAGTAGGGCTACTCGGTCTGCCTCAGTGGATTGGGGTGAGCACTTGGGGCAGGACTATAGTGACAGTGTATGTGGCCCTGTGGGTGGTGTGGCTTGTTGGCAGCAGACTTGTGCTTCTCAAACCGCCACATAGAGGGTTGCCCCACCTTCCAAAGCCTGCACAATTGGCTGCTCCCATGACTGGGGCCTGTGGCACTCAGAAACAATCCTTAGACAGCTGACAAGAGACATGCAGGGCAGAGGCCTATTGCAATCAGAAGCCCCTGAGCCTAGCAACCAGCCATTCTGGGGCCTACTCACTTAACAGAGAAACTGCAACAGGAATGTGCTATCTGACCTTGCAGCCAACTGTTCTGGGGCTCCCCATGCCTGATAAAGTGATGAAGTGTCCATAGAAATTGCACACAGCTGAGCATTACAACCAGCTGGCCAGGGAGACCATCTAGCCTCCCCAGGCACTTGCAACAAGAGCAACCCTGTCACAACAGAAAGACACACATAGCCCATACTGGGAAGACTCATGGAACATTTGGAATTAGTGAGGAAGGGAAGCATACTGCTGAGCCTCATAAGAAATCTCTTACATAAGGCCACCTCTCCAAGATTGGGAGATATAGCTGGCCTACCTAAGACATAGATATAAGCACAGGGAAAGAGGAAAAATGAGGACACAAAGGAATATGTTCCAAGTAAGGGAAGAAAGCAAAACCCCAGAAAAGAACTAAA